CATCTTGATCTTGGTCTTGTTTAATCAGAATGTTGCTGTAATGAGCCATGCACCATGAACCTTCCAACTTAGTAGTGCCTTTCTCTACTTTTAGATAATATTAGCACAACTACTTCCATGCGAGAGGCATCATCTTCTTCATGTCTCATTACTTATCAGTCTATTCCAGGGGTGGGGAACTCCAGGCCTTGAGAGCCGGTGTCCTGCAGGTTTTAGATCTCACCCTGGGTCAGCACACCTGAATCAAATGATCAGTTCATTACCAGGCCTCTGGAGAACTTCCAGACATCTTGAGGAGGTAATTTAGCCATTTAAATAAGCTGCGTTGGATCAAGGACACATCTAAAACCTGCAGGACACCGGCTCTCAAGGCCTGGAGTTGCCCACCCCTGTTCTGCTCTGTCCTGATTGAATGCACCTAGTCTCGCTGGTCCCTATTAATGCAAGGCTGTAATTTTCCATTGCTTTAGCAATTTAGTAAGCCCTTCCAGTTTGATACATGGTTTGGACTTTCCATGTATTTTAATCCTGGTTGGAGGAAGGATTTTTGGTCCTGTAGTTTCCAAAAACTCCTGACTTTTACTGAATGGCGTGCTTTGGGCCTTGGGTTGAAGGTCGTTTTTCCAAATTCAAGCTTCCTTGATGTTCTCTTGTCAATATTTTTGGGTTTTGTGGGATAGGGTTGCCAGCCAACCCTCCTCCTTTCTCATCCAGGCGTGGGAACCACCATGGGGGAGTTGAAAGTGAGGAAGCAGTGAGGAAAAAATCTACAAGGAAAAATTTTTTCTCAATCTGTGTCAGTTGTTTCAGCTCAACTGAACATCGTATTATTGCATTATTGTATAGGGTTGTTACCTTACAATACAAATAGACTTGAATTGAATTGAAAAAAGTTGGTGTTCTGTTAAAAAAACAAACAAACAAACAAAAACTAATCCAAACATAAAAATAAAGATTTTCTAGGTGTCCCACTTGTGGAATACCTCCAATCTGCTAACTGTAAAACAGAATAACATAGAATTGAATTATAAAGATAGTTCCTATGGATGGGACTGCTGTCAACGATCAGCTGTCTAGGTATGGACCAATAACCAATCCAAATATCAGATGCTCTGTTATACGGGATATTTCACATTTCTTTAATCTTTAGTGAACATACATTCTTGACTTGTCAGTTTGTTCCTGTGATTTGTCGTCTTATAAACACATTTAAATAGTTTTCTTACATCTGCATCGTTCATTGCTTTCTAAGTGTGCCAGTTGAGACGTTAGCTGTTGTTTTTTTCCTTTTCCTTTTAAGTTCTTTTAGCTTAGATGTTGGATAATATCTATCTGATATTCTCCTCGGCAGCTGCTCCTGTCAGATCAGTCACTCCGCTTTCTTCTCCACCTTGCTTAGAAGCATTTAGTCGTCCATTATATGCATATATGCTCACCGTTCACTGCTCAGTTTTCTCTTCTTTGAGGCATTCATTTCTTTTGTAGCCGAAGTGATATCGACTGCACGGAGTAATGGTGATATTTGTTATTGTTATAGCTGTTGGCCTAATGACAACTACATCTATTTGAACCTCGTACCAGGCAGGCATCATTTCACATCAACAGATTAAGCAGCAAAATGATATCACTTACAGACGTATAGGTCAAATGAAAGTGTTTGAGTGGCCGGATCTTTCCAATAGCTGTGATCCTGATTTGCTCAAGCCTGCTCAGTTGATGAATGTGTGGCACAGTGGTGTAAAGGTCGCAGTGAGGCTGGAAGGTTGTAATCACAGACTGTGTGGCAAAGATGGACACTATGCTGCCGTTTGCTGGTGTCAGGAGTCCATATTTTGAAGACTTGTCGTTAGGGTTAGGATTACCTGTCACCATCTTCATTTTCAAGAACCAGAAGGAACCACATTTGGATGATAGGGTGTCTTATTGAGTGTTAGTGTGTGCAGCACAGTTATTTATGGCCATATTTTGTCATATAATTTCACCATCAACACCACAAACACGTTTTTCCTAACAGGTTGTAAACATGCTTTTTAATAGGCCATTTGTACATGTGAGTACAGTATATGGGGAGTGACTCACTTTTGGTGCCAGCCTCAAATGGCCACTCCAGGAAGTGCAGCTTCCACACTGGCGTCATGCTTTCAGCCCTGGAAAACATGCTCTGGAGCTTGATGCCAGACATTTCTCTTCCTGTATTACTGCTCAACAAAAGGCCCACATGTGCATCCAGTAGAAAAATCCTTAACTGTGGAAAACGCTGGGATGCAATTGATTTGCATGTTTTTTTGTGCTGCTCATCTTCGATGATTCAGAATGACACAGACCTGTAACAAAGTATCTTGCGGTAAAGACTGGTTTCGAATTGAAAATATTTTTTTTCTTTTTTTGAATTGCAGCATCATTTGCCTTTCTCATTTAAATTAGAAATAAGTAGGAGATGAAAAAGAAGTGCAGTGGAAGATGAGTTTCCCACTGACAGTCTGCCACGGAGTGGCCTGTGCAGTCTCCCTCAGTCTCACTGCCTCCTGGGAGTTGAGGAAAACATTCGGCTGATGACATGAATCTTGGATGAGTGTGCATCTGTGTGTGAGTGTGAGATAGTGTTGCATGCATACAGAGAAGTACAGTATTCTGGGAGAACCTGTTCATTTAAATCTGTGAGTATGATAGCGTGCGTGCGCCAGTGGCGCCAAAATTCCACACACACATTCCCATGAATATCTTGTGTGTGGCTCTGTTGACATGCTGAACCGTCCTCTCCCCAGACCACCCCCATTCTCTCTTTCTCTGCTTCATCAATCACTTAAGCTTTCCCACTGCTCATGGCAGAGCTGGACCAATTAAACCCTCTAATTGAGCCAATTAGCAATTAAACACTCAGATGCACCACAAAATTCTGGCGGTCCCCGCAGGCATACTCGTGTCTGCCAGGAGCTTGGCCAGGAATTCTGACATACATGTGTCACGAGGTGCAAGTTTTGGGCAAAAAGGAGTCCAGTTGTCCCCCTTCCTGGGCTCATCACGTCCCTGAGAATCTCTCCTCCTTGTGTCACTTTGACTCGAGGCCTCTTGAAGGGCCTCTGCTGACCACAGAGAAGCTTTTCATTAACAGGACCTGTTTCCTCTCCATCTTTATTCTCACCTTTCATCTCCAGTTTGGCTCTCTCGTCATCCCTGCTCCTTTTTCTTTTTTTCCCTTCCCCTCCGACACTCGTCTCTTCGCCCGTCTCTTTTATGTACGTTGGAGGATGAAAGTTTAACAGCAGTGTAGATGGTTATTTTTGATTGTTGGGTGTGTGGGTGAAGGGCTCGTCCCAGACTCTCCGTGGTTTAATTAGAGCGCGCGTCGTGCTGCCCGCTTCTCAGCGAGCAGATACACACCCCGACGCACACACGGGGGGGCGTGGGCAGAACAACAAAGTCCATTCGGAGACGAACAAAGGCAGGCGGCAATATATTTAGTGTGCACGCGCGGGAACAAACAAAAACAAGGAGAGATTAGAGGCGCTACAGGCCCGCTCGCAATTACTGCTCTCTCTTTTTTAACTTTTTTTTTCACCATGCATTTCCCCAAAAGCCCGAATATATCCTCTCCAAGAGCTTGTTGTACATAAGAAACTATTAATACATGAATGAGCCTCCTTATTTGTGTTATCTGCTCATCAGCCTATAGACTCTAATTATCTGCCGTCTTGCCTCAAGCCTCTTAAATCCCATACTTTTACATTTTAAATGGCTTTATTGGCAGTGTGAGAGAAAGGGGGAGTGGGGGGGGGAGAAAACAAAAACAGAGGTGGGTACAGGCGATGCAATAATATCCTTAATGATGCCTTTAAAGGGGACAATTACGGTAGGGCGATAAAGCAAAGGGGAGAGTGTGAAAAAAAATGCGATAAGAGTGAAAAAGAGTGCGCTAACACTGAGGAGATATCTCACTGTACTCCCAGCGTTACTTACTGCCGGGCCTTGTGTGTCCCGCACCGTTACATAACACCACGCAACAACGCAACGGCAGCCTAATCTCCTCCTCGCCTCATGCATTTCCTGACTCTGGATCTGTTAGATGAGGATTTGCACATTTCCGCTGTAGATTACATGAATGGCTGTGCACAATGTGGGCTTTCATTCATGTGTGGCTCAGTTAATGCTACGAGTGTGTCTCTGTGTTCTGCGTATAGCCAGAGAGCGCCCCAGCTGGGCTGTTCTAAGCTGCTTACAGGCGCACATTATTGACATTTGACCTTACTGGGCAGTGAAAGGCTCGCCCTAATCTCCAGCTTCTACTCGTCCACCAACGCTGTCTACTGTACTGTCTGTAGTGTTGCCTCCACGAGAACCTCTGAAGCCTCGAGGAATTTAATAGAAATATTGAGGCATCGCTGGCAGCGTTGTTCGGTGGAAACTCGGCAGAGATGCGTGCGTGCTAGCTGCCAGGTTGAGCTCGGGCCGCCAGGAGGGATCGTGCCCTCATGCAAGTCGCACTGGGACAGCAGGATTTTCATACATAATGAATAGAGAGACATGTAGAAATGTGCACGCAGCAAGGAGCATATATGGGATTATGTTGCAAACGCCAGAGGAAGTAAAAACATGATGTCAGAAATTGCATTTGTGTCATTGTGTTTGTTTTTGTTCTTCCGTCCATGTTGGAGAGAAACATTTTCAGCCTTGTGATGTAACGACGTGAAGTGAAACACGTTGATCGTCACATGAAATGCTCCCAAAATGAACCCTTGTTAGTTTGATCTCCACAACACTGGCTCTGGATTTAGAAAATCTTTCATTTCAGGAAAAAAAAAAGAAAAAAGGTCCCTTGGCAACAGCTGAAGGTGAAAAAATGTTGAACTGACAACATTTAATGGAATATATTTCTGTTTCAGATAAGCTTAATCTCTTTTATCTTTTCTTCCTCCCTCCCCCCGCCCCCGCTCTCTCTCTCTTTATCACCGTCCCTTAAATCTCTTCCCTCCTCCCCCCTGCTTCTCTGTCTCATTCTGCAGAATTCATCATCAATCCAATTATCTGGATAATTGAGGACGAATAGGTATGGAACGCAACAGAGCCATGGCTTGGGAAGTGTTTCGGATCACCGTTGCTCAGAATCACCATTGACCTGGCACCCACTCCAAGGTCCAAACCCCTTTATCCGGCACCCAGAGCCCAAAGGACCCTTCTCTCCCAAGCAGCTGCCTTGTCCTCCACTTCACCTTCATTCAGCGCCCTTAGTCTTGGTCGAGTTTCTAAAAAAGCTCCTTTTTAGTCATTAAGGGTTTTTTACCTTCCAGATTGTTGGATATAATCCACTTTTGCTCATAAAGAGAGACGTTTTCCCAAACTGACTAAAAGCAGGTGGCTGAACGGTATGAACTCAGTCATGAAGCCCCTTCCATTCTTTATAAATAGACAGAGTCGGCGGAGTTTGTCGTCAAGGACAAGCCACCTCAGCCTTATGACAGACTGGTGCCTCATGAGCGTCCTAGGCCTCATTCTGCTCTTCAGTCTAGCCTCGAGCCAGAAGATGGATCCTTCTAAACACCCTATCGTGACCACTAACTATGGGAAGCTCAGAGGCATCAAGAAGGACTTGAACAATGAGATTCTTGGCCCTGTGGAGCAGTACCTGGGTGTGCCCTACGCCACAGCGCCTATCGGCGATCGCCGTTTTCAGCCACCTGAGGCCCCGGGATCCTGGCAGGAGATCCGCAACGCCACCCTCTTTGCCCCTGTGTGCCCTCAAAATGTTCACGGTGTACTGCCGGAGATAATGCTACCCGTGTGGTTCACAGACAACCTGGACGTGGCGGCCGGTTACATCCAGAACCAGAGCGAGGACTGCCTCTACCTCAATGTCTACGTGCCCACGGAGGATGGTGAGTGGGGACAGGGTGAAATGAAGGGTTGGTGGATGTGGGACTTTGATAGGTAACATTTAGCACAGGGAATAGGTGGACTTTTCACTAAGCTCCAAACCCTTTAGTTACTATTACCGTACCGTTCTTGTTGAGCTTTCCATGCTCACACAGCAGGCACACAGTTACTGCTGTACATGTGTTTTTTAAGTCTGCAACATCAGGTTCTTGGTAGAAAAAGCCGACTCATCTTTTTGTCTGGCTGCCAAATAGAAGATTATATGTGAAGTTTGTTGTTTGATTGAGGATAACTGACAGATTGTTTTAGTGTTTGCAACCAACACCTTTTAGCTTGTAGCTTTAGTAAAGTCAGTAAAGCTCCAGGCACAAACAGCCGCTCCATGTAGAAGACAGTCTTTTCCATTGTTAAATATATTTTTATATTTATATGTTTTCTTAAATATATTTTAGAAACTACTTTTTGGTTTTTTTTGGTTGTGTGTTTTTTCCATCTGACTGATAGATCCAGGATTGCTTGCTAGGCAACAGTACCCTCACCTATTCAGTCTTTAAGTGATGACGTATGAATCCTGCTTCCGGGCCCAAACTACTCTGCGTTTCATCAGGCTGCTGTGTTTTTAACATGTTTTACCGCTTTATATCTTGTTGTATTTAATCTCAACAAGCCCCTAAAAACACTCACTGTCGGCTTCTCTCGGTTTTTATTACCACTATTAATTTCAAAGTTCAGTTTTTAAAACCTTATGATGTAAGTACAGCTCAGCCCATGCAGCAGTATATTAATGACTAACCTCGTATTGTGGATTATCTCCGTTGTTCTCCTGACTAAAGTTTGGTCCGTTTACAGCATCCTGCCATGCGATTGCATTTGTCCCTGACCATCGGGAACCCTCACGTTAACTTTTATCAAGTGGAAAAAAGTTAGCGTTCATCCTCCAGCTTCACTGTGTTTATATTATGCTAACATAGCTGTGTCGCTAGCAATCACATAGGACATCATTATATAGCAGCTAGCCAAACTTCAGTAACCCTGCAAACGTCACTGTTGTTTAGTTTTCTGTCTTGACTTATGTTGGAAGTGACAGCAGAGCTGCACGTTTTAATTAGTTTCAAAAATCTCTCAGTCAGAACATGCTATATTATGTTTAGGCGGAAACTAGCGAGCTAACCCTCTGCTAACTTCTAACTCTGTTAAATTTAATAAATTCTGTTTTCATGGATGCCTGGATGTCAAACGAAATTGTTACACCTGGTAGAGCAGCAATGCTGATCATTTTATTAAGAATTTAGACAGTTTTTAACTCTCAGTGATGCCGCAGTGTTCATTTGACTTATGGACCTGCAGCGGAGTTTGGGCCCAGACACGGCTAATGACGTCAGACTTAAAGACCAGATAGTTCAAAAGTTCAGCTGCTTGCTGATAATCAGCCCATGCGTCCTCCATTTTACATTAATCTGTCGTCCTGTTGACTTCAGCCTCATGTTCTTGGACTTCAGCCGGCTACAGCAGCCTTGATCTTTGTGATCTTGTGCGAGCTGGAGAGCCACTCAGACCAGAACCTCAAGTAGGCAGAGAACTGGTTCATGAGCTGCTGCACTGAGACGGTGGAGTTGACATTTGACCTCAGGACGAGAGACTAAGCAGAGGACTGGCTGAGCATTGCTTGAGAGTCACAAAGAAGGCCCAATTATAGGTGAAGAGGAGCACCTTCATCTGCCAATAATCTGTGCCCCCCCACACCACCATAGATATACAGTTAAAGCAAAAAATATCTCTTCCAGTATTGTTAGCTTGCCCTGGTGTTAAGTTCAGACTCGTGTTTCAGTCTAACCTAACTTCTGACTTGCTTTGAATACACATTTGAAGAAGCAAATGATGATGAAGTGATGATTTATCTGTTTAGAGGAGGGGCTTAGTGAACAGTCACTCTTTACAAGGATAGTCTGAGTGGTTGTATAAAGGTTATTAGTTAAGCTAATATTTCATACCAACCTTGCACATAATGTAGATGACGACTGTTAGTTTTAGGATTATGCTTGCGTCTGGGTTGGACTTATATAAAAGAAACAATATAAAACTCCACGGAGAATCAAAAATCATTTCAACTACCACTTTGCTGTTTTTATGGTACCTCCAATTCTGTGTGTTATAAAACAAAAAGGCCAGGACTGGAGCAGCTTTATGAGAAAAGGGATTAGGTGACTTTTGACTTTACTTTTTTTTTTCCAGTCAAGAACTTTCTTCTCTCAACTCAGATCAAACTGTGGACATTTTTGTCAGTCTAGGGACTATTTGGTGTACGAGCAATAAGGGGGAAAGATTTCCATCTCATCGGCAGGTGTGACATGAAAAGTGGAGACTCCCGTCACCTCCCTTCCTCTCCTTGCCGAGGATATTGTGCTTCACATTTTTGTCTTTCATTTCTATATCTCGAGTAAAAGCTGCACAGCTTCCCAACACCTTTTTATAGAGACAAAGTGGTAAGCATTTTGGGTTTTGCTTGGAAAAGAAAATAAGACCTGAAAGCTAACTGGACGCTTTCCAAAGAGGAATGAAGTGTTGCTAAAGATCTGTATTGAGGCTAAAAAAAGAATACTCCATGATGTAGCTTGACAGTGTCTGTGTGTGTCTTTCTCACCAACACTTTTAAGTCTCCCTCTTTGCCCGTCCATCAGAACTTCTTTCAATTTCTTTTTTTTTACCCACCTCGCAGTTCAAAAACATTCCTTCCGCCTCTCCACTGCAGCACCGCAGCCTCAGCCCTCGACACCCCATCATTGCCACTTACGGCTCCGCGGGCAAATTTAGAGCATTATACATCAGGTTTCACTTTTTTTTTCCCTGAGATGTGCGATGTGGAAATGGAAATGTCATAACTCTGAAACATATAAACACTCGCTCACATTCTCCCGTGCAGCGCGCCTTCTGCAAATGTCACACAGGTGCTGAACATCTCCCCACAGTGACCTTCATTCATCAATGTGAAAAATCAGCAGAGCGCCCGGCGGCGTCGGTGTACCACACGGTCACTGTTTGTAAGGTGCGTCCAGGTTAGAAAGACATTATCCCAGCAAATACCCACCTGGTGCACGTGCCATAATTTATCCCAAGTGTGGAAAAAAAGAACTGCAGATCCATATGAGCTCGCTTCACCCCCTCCCCCGCCCGTCCTCCATCATCACTGCTGTTATATTTACTGTGGTCGAGTCAGGCATGACATTGCTAGCCTCAGCAATCTCTAGCAGCCCCGGGGTTGCCGTTGTCTTTGCTCCTCTGCCTTTTCTCCCTCTTTGGTTTCCAAATCATTTGTTACACATGCAATGGAGGAGATGGAAGGAAACGAGGAAAGGAGGATAAAAAACAAGGAGAGGAGACTAGGGCTAGAGATTTTTTTAGCTTATATGCATTTTCTCTTGCCACACCACGTCTGTCACTGTCTTTCTTCTTACTTTTAAAACATGAATTCTCCGTCTCCTGAGAGTTTTGTACTTGTATCCTTTCACAGGGCAACCCTTAAGACAGAATCCTTAAAAAAACTCTGGTTTTAAGTGGATTAAGTTGGCAGAATTACGTCTTAATGCTGCCGTCGGTGCAAGTAGGAGAAAGTGGGACACTGACATGAATGTGTGTTTGTTCATAGATAAACAAATATGCTAACATTTGGTGCGTACTCGTGGCTCTTTAATTAATATTTAAGTGCTTAGTAAGTTGCAAAGCTAGCCATGTGTTGTCATTTCTTTCATTCATCCCATGGCACTCCTGAATAAACATGCTGCTGAATGTGTCAGTCTTTTAGAAAAAAACAAAATCAAGAAATGAAACAAATTGAAAGAAAGAATGAAAAATGACACTTTTTAATATTTGATTAAAGACAGCTTCATCTAATTTAGTAATTTCATATCACATTCTTTGACTATATGAATAGTTTTGAGCAGAAAATGCTAATCACTGAATGGGTTTTCATGTTTTCTAAACACATTAAATAACTTATTGTGTATATATTGCTACAGAAAAGACGCATTGCAGCATCTTTTGGATTTAAATATAGAGACTACATTTCTATCCAACACATGGTGGCCTCAGGGAGGCACGGCAACGACCCAAAACATACAGCCAGAACGATAAAGAACAAGAAGGCAAGGCACTCTCTGGAGGTATTTACTGTTAAGGAAATATTGTATTATTTAGTTTGTATATATTTGTTTGGTTTATTTGTTCATTTAAAAGAACATTAAGTTGGCGGTGCAGTAAAGTCAGTCAGATAAGGGAAGTATGACGGATATTTGCTTTGATTACACAGACATTATGTAGGAGTGGGTTAATGGGTAATAGGTATTGATGTGTAAATAGCTTGAGCTTATTATAGAACACTGTACTACAGTATATTTCCAAGTAGGCCATTCGTTCTCATACTTTGTTTAAAGATGTGACACATTTTGGGTTCAGCTTAAAAGAAAGGCAGATGTAAAATGTAAAATTGAGGTCAGAGGTCAAATGTAACCTGCCATTGGATGCAGACTATAATATAAGATTTCCTGATCCTGATAGACCTGTATCAAAGAAAGTATAATTTGAAGCAAAGTTAACAATTCATGAGTTTATTTGCATTTGAAGATGAGGTCAAAGGTCAGATGTGTTTAGAATGTCTTAATGTCACTTCCTGGATACCTGTATGTTGAAAGTACAAACAATGGCAGTAAGAATCTTCATTTCAAACGGCTCTGTATAGCATTATTATCATCTTGACCTTTTAGGCTAACCTGTTGACCTTGAAGGAGAGGTCAGAGGTCAAATGTGACATGATATCTTAAATCTTAAACCACACTTGTAATAGACCTAGTTTCAAAGTTACTTTCTGTCAATTTTTGTCCAATAAATCATAAAGTTGACCTTGAAGACCTTGAACTGGAAGCCAGGTTTTGATGGATGATTAACATGACCGCACTCTGCACCCCTACCAAGTTTTCTCAGAATTCCTCCAAGTTATCATGTTTACAGG